AGGCGAAGTGTCACTCTTGTTGCCCAGGCTGGAGTGCAGCGGTGCAATCTCGGCTCACCGCAAGCTCCACCTCCCAGGTTCAAGCGATTATCCTGCGTCAGCCTCCTGAGTAGCTGGGATAACAGGCGCGCGCCACCACACCTGGCTAATTTTTGTGTTTTTAGTAGAAACTGGGTTTCACCATGTTGGCCAGGCTGGTCTCGAACTCCTGACCTCAGGTGATCCACCCGCCTCGGCCTCCCAAAGTGCTGGGATTACACGCGTGAACCACCGCACTCAGCCACTTTTATTTTTGAGATGGAGTCTTGCTCTGTAGCCCAGGCTGGAGTGCAGTGGCACGATCTTGGCTCACTGCAACCTCCACCTCCACGGTTCAAACGATTTCCAGCTAATTTTTGTATTTTTAGTAGAGATGGGGTTTCACCATGTTGAGCACGCTGGTCTCGAACTCCTGACCTCCAGTGATCCTCTAGCCTCAGCCTCTCAAAGTGCTGGGATTATAGGCGTAAGCCAGTGTGCGCGGCCTGAGTGTTTACTTTTAAACGCTGCAACTGCTCCTGGTGCTGGAAGGCCACCCTCACTCCTGCTGGAGGGTGGCCGCGTCTTCCCTCGTCACCCAGGCGTGCATCCTGTCAGTGTTTTGTGTTTCTGTCTGGTTTACATTTTTGTGTTTTAGAGACAGGGTCTTGCTCTGTTGCCCAGGCTGGGGTGCAGTAGCACAACTATAGCTCACTGCAGTCTTGACCTCCCAGGCTCAAGTGATCCTCCCACCTCAGCCTCTCCAGTAGGTGGGACCACAGGCACACAACACCACACCTGAATAATTTTTGTACTTTTGTAGAGATGGGGTCTTGCTATTTTGCCCAGGCTGGTCTCGAGCTTCTGGAGTCAAGCAATCCTCCCACCTTAGCCTCCCAAAATGCAGGGATTACAGGTGTGAGCCACTGTACGTACTGCATCTCTGACTTCTCTTGTGGGAAGGCAGGCAGGCAGGAAGCAAGGCCTGTCCAGGCCACTCCGCGCCAGGTGTTATCAAGGGGTTAGCATACTGTCCTAATTCTCCTGATCATCTTTTCTTCTGTTTTTAGATTGACATTTGACTCACATACCACACATTTTAACCTTTTCAGTTACAGTTCAGGAGTACAGTTACGTGACTCCTGGCATGTTTGGAGTTGCGCAACCACTACCTTTATCTAATTCCAGAACACTTTCATCAGCCCTAAAAGAAATCCTGTCCAGGTGTAATGGCTCACGCCTGCAATCGCAGCACTTTGGGAGGCCAAGGCAGGAGGACTGCTTGAGGCCAGGAGCTCAAGACCAGCCTGGGCAACATAATGAGACCCCGTCTCTGCAAAAAATATTTAGAAATTAGCCAGGCATGGTGGATGTGCCTGTATAGTCCCAGCTACTTGGGAGGCTGAGGTGGGAGGATCGCCTGAGCCCAGGAGGTCGAGGCTGCAGTGAGCCATGATTGTGCCACTGCACTGCAGCCTGGGGGACACAGTGAGACCCTGTCTCAAAACAAAGCTAAGATCATGTCACCTAGGGGACAGTTACAGTGATGAGACGTCACAGACACCTGTGGTGCCTGCTTCAGAGGACCCAGCCCAAGGTTTCAAGAAACAAGAGCCCAAGTGTGAGAAAGAGGAAGCCACATGGAGGAACGCCCCAAGCTGCCGTCCAAACCCAGGGCCACACTCCTTTCACGGAACTTTTACTGCCGGGGCCACAGGGTCTGGGCTTGACTGGGCACCGCCGACTTGGCACCGCCTTCTTGGCCTCCTGGATGGCTTCAGTCTGAACGGGGAGGAAGGAGCCATGCTCTGAGCCCGCCCAGTAGGAGCCAGGGGCCCACCCCAGTCTCCCTCCTCGTGGCCACTGTGAAGAACTCTCAGCCACACCCAGCTGTAGCGGGGGTCTCAGCTGGGGGGCGATTCTGCGCCCCAGGGGATACTGGGTGATGTCTGGGGGCATTTGTGGTTGTCATAACTGGGGGATGCTCCTGGCACAGAGTGGGTGGTGGCCAGGGATGCTGCCCAGTGCCCTGCAGTGCCCAGGACACCCCACCCCAGAGGACAATCCGCCTTGAATGTCCACACTGCCGAGGGGGAAAAAGCTTGCCCTGTGAGTGGCAGAGCCAGGGACCTGACTGTTCTTGTTTGCTTTATTTATTTTTTGAGACAAAGTCTTGCTCTGTCACCCAGGCTGGAGTGCAGTGGCACAATCATAGCCCACTCTAGCCTCAACCTCCGGGGCTCAAGCAATCCTCCCACCTCAGTCTCCTGAGTAGCTGGGACTACTGGGTGTGCGCCTGGCTAATTTTTGTATTTTTTTTTTCTTTTTTCTTTTTTGAGATAGAGTCTCGCTCTGTTGCCCAGGCTGGAGTGCAGTGGCGCGATCTTGGCTCACTGCGACCTCTGCCTCCCGGGTTCAAGGATTCTTCTGTCTCAGCCTCCTGAGTAAGTTGGGACTACAGGCGCCTACCACTACACCCAGCTAATTTTTTTTTGTATTTTTAGTAGAGACGGGGTTTCACCGTGTTGCCCAGGCTGGTCTCGAACTCCTGACTTCGTGATCCGCCCACCTCGGCCTCCCAAAGTGCTGGGATTACAGGCGTGAGCCACCGCGCCTGGCAATTTCTATATTTTTTGTAGAGACGGGGGTCTTACTATGTTGTGCAGGCTGGTCTTAAACTCCTGACCTCAAGTGGTCCTCCCATCTTGGCCTCCCAAAGTGCTGGGATTATAGATGTGAGCCACTAAGCCTGGCTGTCTCCCTCTTTATTTTTTTTTAATTTGTTTTTTTTGAGACGGAGTCTCACTCTGTCGCCCAGGCTGGAGTGCAGTGGCTGGATCCATCCGTCTCGGCCTCCCAAAGTGCTGGGATTACAGGCTTGAGCCACCGCACCCCGCCCTTGTTTCCCTCTTTAATGAGTACTTTTTACAAATTGCCAACCGCATCACTAGTTAGTACACAGTGACTGGGTTGTCAGAGGTGCAAATATGTATCTGCCCATCCGTGTTTCTCCTGCTTGCCAGGGAGCACTTCCCTACACACTCATAAACACCCTACGGGGGTTCATGCCGCAGCCCTGTGAGGCTGGCAGGGCGGGTAGAAAGTGGACGCTCTCATTCCTGCTAAGTGATCATGGACCTTTGCTGTTATTAGTAACAGGCCTGGCATCTGCTGGGGCCCTGGAGGACCTGCTCTTGTGAAACTCATCATTCCCTGGCTGGCGGGAGGGGCTCACCCATGCTGCACGTCCAGAAGCTGAGGCCAGCTGCCTCGCCTGAGGGTGCGAGGTGAAAGGTACGAGTCTGGGCTTGAACTCAGATCCTTCAATTCTGAATCTGGTGTGTCTGCCACTAGGGCAGCGTCTCTGCACTGTGGACGTCAGCGTGGGTC